TGAGACTATGAAGAATGGTTTCGTGATTTTGTCTATATATATAAGCAAGCGCTTTTGCGTGCATGTGTAAAAGCAAAGAGCATTAATTCTTGACCAAGAATGTTGGACTATTTTACATATCTCACATTTTCTTATCGCATTTTCATATATTATAATATAATTGCATTCTTCATGTTAAATCTTTTACTATTTATATACTTCAGACAAAACAGTTGGTGTATATTCATAAAATATAACAAGTAAATGGAATCAAGTTTCTTCAACTACCTGCTTCTCCACAAGAGTTACGTATGACTTGTTTGTTGTTGAACACTATGACTTTCATAAATAAAAGGTTTAAAAGTAAAAGACTAGAGGAATTGAAAAATAGTTATCAAATGTTGTAAAAAAAAGTAGAACTTTATTGGTTAGTAGGAGACCAATGGGGTTTCTTGTTGAAGAAACAACAAGCTTTCTTTAGCATAAGCTATCAACTTTTGACTTTTATTTTTTCTTCGTAGTCGGTTCGAACTAATACACGGTGTGAAGTCATGAGAGACTTGGTCACCTTCGTTAGGGAGGGAAAAATGGAAAGGGAAAAAAAAACGGTAAAATTTAAGTTGATGATGACAAGTGATGACGTTGGTTCACTACTCCCTAAACCCAATATGTTTCAACTTTTGCCTTTTCATATGTTTGTTCAATTTGATTGGGGTTTGACATTGGTTAAATAGTGGCTTGCTACTTACCGACCTAGTTTACCCCATTTCTAAAACTACATTTATGTAGGACCGGTCTTGATAACGTCATAATATTGGTCCATAAAACATTTTTTTTTTGTTTATTTAGAAATTATATGATATAATTTTTTACTGCAACCCAAGTTCGGTATGTTTAGATTCATGATCAGACTTGCATATATGGTTGTAAGAGGCATCATGTGGACTTTGGCGCACCAGACCATTAAGCCGATAAAAAATAACATATGCAATGGATAAATGTTCAAAGTAAACATGGAAATAGAAGACGCGAAGGACATTCACTAATCTACTCCTAATCCTCCTCACTAGTCTATCTTTACTCTTATGTATGCTATCTCTTATTTTATCGATTTTCGTTTGACTTGAGCAATTTCTATATGACTTTTGATATTGCAAGTTATTTAATTTACACTAGAAACTTGTTCATATAAGATGTTTTTGATATTGCAATCTCTATATGACTTTTGCAATTTTGATATTGCAATTTTTTAATATTGCAATTTTTTAATTTCTATATGACTTTTGATATTGCAATTTCTATACGACTTTTTTTTGTAAGTTACTGCAAATTATATGACTTAAACCTTTAACAAAAAAAAATAAAAAATAATATATGACTTTTTTCTGCACAACCGTTGATTATGATTATAAGATGTTTGAAAAGATACAAAACCAGAAATTTGTGAATAAATGGAATTGTAAACTAAAAAATAATCATAACATAGCTGAACAACCACAAAACAAACTTTCAGATAGATATTTTTGGAGACCTTCATAGTCTATGAGAATTGCATTTTTATTTATTTACAAACTAAATTCATAAATACTTCATACTAGATTTTTGGCCTGCGTCAAACGCGGGATTAGAATATTTGGAAATAAAAAATTATAATTTTATAATATAAGGGAAATATTAGAAACAACAAATATTAAATGGTATAACTCCCATAGATATATTTTATATTACAAAATTTATTCTCCATAACACTTAGATTGAATGTAAATGTTTTTAATATAAATCGTATACGGTTGAGATTATTTTTTCTCTTAAACTTACTTGAGCTTACCAAACCCAAAAAATATCGTTTTAATATGTAAATTTTCTTAAATAAAAAACCAAAGAAATAATAAAAAGCGAAAATGATGATTTTCGAAATTCAAACATTAATGTTTGATTTATAAAGTTGTACATTTATAACAAAAAAATCGTAACTCTAATTAGAATAATATGGATATAGTTAAATGATATAAAATAACATAATTTTATATCAATCACGTATCGTATCCAAATAGACATAAATAAAATTTTAATAAAGTAATTGACATCGGTAAATGACTCATGTTAAATCATTATGTTATATAACGTTTAAAATATTAAAATATTATATCACTTGGATTTAAAATAGTAACATATGTATTTGTTTTCTTTATTGAAAGAAGCATTTTGATTGATCAATTTAATTAATGTGTTCATTAGAATCCTTATTGAATGACATAATAATTTTTTTTACTAGTGTCTCATCAATTAATATATATATAGAGGATTTCATGTGAAAGGAAAGTTCTAACAACATTCTAAAAAAGTAAATTTTAGTTTGAATTAGAGCAAAGCGCTTATACATTTGAACTTTGTCTTCCATACACTCCAACACAAGTTTTATGCAATTGATTTCAGACAACTGATTTCATACATATAATTTCTTTGAAATCGTTTACCAAAATGATTTCGATGATCCACTTAGCATATTTTCCCACACACGTGTGTTAGTGTCTACATGTCCTCGAAATAATTCCAATTGAGATGATTCACGTCGTGCTATCATCACAATGATGGTTTGCTCTTTTAGGTCAACAAATAATTCGATGAACGCTTGATCGCCTGTCATCAATAAAAAAAAATTCGCCATCTCAAGCTTTTTTTTAAGAACATTGTGTCGGACCATGTTGAGCATATGTCTCGACAACATCAAATATTGTTGGATAAAGCTTCAATGGCTTGTAACCCAAGACATCTATCAACAAGTCGGTTATAGA